GTGTTCAGGCTTTTAATTTCACAGGAGCCCTCAGATCTGTCCAAGCAGCCCCAGCAAGCTGAAAAAGGATCGCATTAAAAATGACAGCAAGAAAACATAAAAGCCATGAAAACAACCTGGCAAGAGGCGGAGCAGCCCGTCCAGGGTGTGGGGAGAGGGGAGCAGGCAGGACTCAGGCACTGACCCCCTTTTTGGCTCACCTCCCCAGAGGCATTTGGGGAGGAGATAAGAATCCCAAGGGAGAAACGGATGCATGCACTTGGATGCAATATCCTGCCCGGGTGCTGCGGGGCCATGGCTCAGCCCGTGCTGCCCAGGGGTCTGCCCCTGGTGCAGCCATCCCCGCCACCCCCTCGTCCGCCAGCCCGGGTCCTGCCCTTCCCGATGTTTCCTCCCTCTGCCGGCTGCCTGTGGGGCCAGGCATGGGTCGGGACGTGGGAAATCCTGCCGCGTCCCGCCAGCTGCTCCTGCCGGCTCTGGGTGACACATCCTGGGTGGGAGCCAAAGCCCCGCTGCAGCCCCACACCGTTTCTTGCTGGCCTCCTCCAGCAGCTGCCGCTGTGCCAAGGGGTCCAACCGGCACGGGAGGGGTGTACCCAAGGGGGCGAGCAGGATGCCTGGACCGAGTGTGCACACCATGTGGCCCACAGCCCTGGGGTACAACTGGGGCCACTGCTGCACCTTTGCTCTGGCAGGCCACCCTGCAAGAAGGGAAACAGCAGCAACATTTTTGAGTTGCGGCAGCTCCTGCTGGTGTTTCTGTAAGGTCAATCGGAGCTGAAGAGTGGCCAAATGGCATTCCCTGTGCCCCGGGCTGGGGCAGATAGGGGACGTGGGTGAGGTTTTGTATGAGAAGAAATGCCCCAGGAGACATTCCCTTGCAAAGCCTCAAAGACATTCCCGAGAGGACCCCAGTTCCTGGCCAATGCCAAAATCCTTGCAGCTGCCCCACACGAGCCTCCAAGCCCCTGTAACAGCAGAAGGTCAAAGACATTCCCGAGAGGACCCCAGTTCCTGCCCAATGCCAAAATCCTTGCAGCTGCCCCACACGAGCCTCCAAGCCCCTGTACAGCAGAAGGGCACACTGGTTTGTGTGCACCCCCCCCCCCCCCGCCAGTCCCAGTCCCCAGGAGCCCACGGGGCCAGAGCTGCGTCCTCCTGCAGCCCAGCTCCCTCCTCTGTCCCTGAGTGCTGCCACGGGGAGGGATGGAAAAGCTATTCGGCATCCCTCCGAGCCACTTCCCTGCTTGCATGGCTGACTGCCTCCAGCACTGCAGGCTCCCAACCTGCCCAAGGAGAAACCGGACCAAAACAAGCATTGCGGGGGCAGAGGGAAAGGAGCCAGCCTTTTTTCTTCTTTTTTTTTCGGGGATGTTGAAGACTGGAGCAGAGAGCCAGCAGAGTGAAAAACAGCCATGTGGGGACTGTGAAAATAGGAGCTGAAGAGAGGAAGATGGGAAAGGTCTAATAAAGAGAGTCACAGTATATAAAATACACAAGCGCCCACCTCCGCCAGGAAGGCTGTGGGAGGGGGTTTTGGTGGTAATCCCTGGCTGTTTGAGACTGTTCAGGCAGACAGGGTCTGGATCTGCAACTGGGTCTGGATTAGACAGGAAAGCCTAGGTTTTCACCCTGTCAACCTGAAACACAATGTTTTTCCCTCGCAGCATTTTGTTATTACGTGGCAGAAATCAAGGGAGGTCAGTTGGGCGTGAGAGGAACCTCCAGCCTCGGGTAGCTCTCCACCACATCCAGATCCCATATGGAAAAGAAACATTTCCCTCATCTAAGCAAAAGTCACGAGGGGAGGCTCGCTCCTAGAAATCAGACCCATGGTCCCACCAGCATCTGCTCAGCCCCAGAAAAACTCCCCAAATCTCATCCTAGCACGCAACGACCTCGGATCAAAACCTGTGCTGAGCTCCCTGTCCACACTTGGCCCTGGCATGGCACAGGGTCTGGGAGTGGTGAATAGCTGGGTACAGTCGTTGCTGCCATTGAGGCTTCAGGGCCCCTTCCCAACCTGTAGGACGTTGTCCCAGATCAGTCTGGCAGTGGGGACAGGAGGAATCACACAGGTTATCTATCAGACGAAGGGAACTGAGTCATTAATTACCCAGGAAGGTTGTGCTAACCCTGGGGGTTGTGTCCTCCCCACTGAGACACTGCTGGAGAAGGCCATTGCAACCTCTGAGCTCAAAAAACACAATGCCAAGGAGCAACATCTCGCTCACAGGTAGTCACACCCAGCCCCAGCCCAAGTGATCTGAAGTAGCAGCTTCCCAACCGAAGGAAACTTATATTTCCTTATCGTTTGCCATAAATACAGCTGCGCTGTTTTCCTGACCATGTCATTTCTACGGCCCTTATCACACGCGCTCAGATAGCCGCAGCACAGTCACACACTTCACAGTCTTCTTGCTCCCCTATTCCCAGCTTTTCCAAACCATTTACGTTCACAACCCTCTGCATCCTGAAGCTCTTCTATGGCAATGGGTGACCCTGCCTGGGACCTCCACATCCGTACTGAACAGGTCAGCAAATGAACTTGTCTTCCTTTTCCCCTTCTTTGCCATGCAGGGACCTGGCTCACAGTTAGGGATGAACTCAAATGTCACTTCTGATAAACATTTATTTTTGGTGAGGAACATGATGTGTTTATAGGCGGTGGAGTGGGCCAGTGGAAAGCAATGGGCATGTGCCAAGTCTTGCAACATCTTGGTGCTTCTCAGTGCTTCTCAATACCTTGGTCTCCCGCAAGGGTCACGTTGTCTGGTCCTTAGGGCATTTTAAACACAAGGGAAAAAATGCATTGGGGAAAAAGATTCCCAAGGTCTCGGCCTGGAAGAGAGACCATGTCGAAACAGCACGACAGTGCTTTCAGGTGGCCTGCATTGCATCAGCCTGGAGACCAAAGGGAAACACCCCAGAGCAAAGGGTCTGAGATGATACAATGGCTGGCTGAAGGTGCCTTCATTTCTGCACTGCCCAAAGCCAATCAAGAATTCACCTGCCACAACATCAGCTTCATTTCCCTCGACGGATTAGCTGGCAGGGTGGGGGAAATTTTTACAAATAGTTTCTGTGTCCGTAGGATATTTGATGAAGACAAGCAAGTTTGACAGGTAAAAAGGAAGCCTGCACCTTTATGAGACATTTATTATTATTGTTCTCCTGAATCAAAGCTGTCCTTCAGAAATACTATGAGCTTAACGGAATGAGCGGGCACCTAAGCATTATGAGAAATCCAGCACTGACAGCTGCCGTGGCTTCACAAGGGATGTGGGTATCTGTAACCAAGTATTATGAACTTGATGCTAAAATATTTGGGCGATTCATCTATCACACACATGGTGTAGGGGGTCACATTCAGATGGCCTCAAAAATCAGTGAATCCTTTTTTTCTCTGCTCTGCATTCAAGTTCTAAGTTTCCTTCTCCAAGCTGGCTCAAAAACACCAGGAGGATATTCATTCCTGTGGTTTTATGGCATTTATATGTCAAGTCTAGGCAGGAACTTGAAAATGGAGTAGTGCTATGATTTGTGTTCCCATTGAAGGGAAAAGGTTGAAATTTAAAAACAGTTGAACTCAGTTTTGATCTGATCATTGGAGAAGAGATACTTAGAAGACATTTTCTTTTAAATTTAAACCAAAATAGTTCCTGTTGTTTCTTTCTGGGACTTAAAAGAAAGTCTAACAGTCCTGATCTGGACTAGTCAAATCAGGCATTTTCCAATGTTATACAAGTCTGGATCCTGGATTTTAGTTCTTTTCCATCACAAACCTGTATAGCTTTACCTCTTGCTTTTACAAGCTGCTACCTTACAAATCCATTGTAGTCTGACAAGAAACTGTACCTCCTATGTCTGTACACAGGTCTAAATACACTGATTACAAGACAATGTTACCTACAGCAAAGACAGACCCCCTTCATCATGTCATCCACCACTATCCCACTGTTGGCCATACTTAAATACACTTTGATATGTGTATTACCAGACACTGTGAAAGACCTCACATTGGGCACCAAAGAGAACCAAGGGAGAAACCACAGAAAATGAAAATGCCGCTTTTAGATGCTCAGACACAACTTTCCCTGCCTCTTTCTTTTCAAGATGAGCTTCAGCTACTCAGTTTGGACATACACATCCAAACTCTCCCAAAACTTCATCGACTTTGGAAGTGAGTGGTAGCTGGCACTTCTCTATTTTTTCTACACAGTCAAATGCATCAAAAGACAATGAGGAAGGCTGCATGATTCATAGCAATGGAATGAAATGCCATTCACAAATGTTTTTTCCATAGCAATTTGTCACTTATTGTATTGAAACCACTTCAGAAGATGTGTCTCAAAGAGCCTTTTGATATTCGCATGATTAAAAACATAATGCAATTAAGCAATCCCATAATATTTCTGTATGTTATATGAGCGGGACCTTGAGTGACCACTTCATTCAGCCCCCTGATAAATGGCTGCTTCTAACAGAAGGCTGTTATTCTGCAAGATGCCTCAGATAGTTGTACAACACCAAGGAATTCAAATCTTCTCACCCCAGAGGCATTTTGGCTCACTAAAATTTAGCTGTCCAGCTTTGGTGTTGGGTTTAGCCTACGTGTCTCAAACCTTCTCAAATCAGCCAAGAAAGATGCACCTCCCAAGAGCCATTCTGCCCACTTCAAAATTGATGTCTAAAATTAATGGGAACATTTGCGCTTTAGATGTATCTTTCTCTCTTTACTGACTATCTAGATGTCTACCTGGATGTCTATCACTTTTCCTGTCGTCATATGCGGAATTTGTATTTACATATGTACCCAACTGGATGTGGGTACATATGTGTGTAACACACATCTCCATATTGATTTCCTATACCTCAAGTACACTGTTACGCAAGTATGCATAACTTTGCATTCATATACCACACGGCACTAAAAAAGCTTTCAACAAGATGTAGACGAAAAAGGCCCTTCCAAAGTGCTAGCTGTCCCAGATCCCTACCTGCCGGGCAGTTGCATCGCTGGTGTGTGTCTCGAACTTCTCGATGTCTCGGCAAGTGGAACTTTAATTTCTGTCAAGGGAGGAAAAAGAGCAAAAGGATTCATTAGTACTGTTGAAACCAAAGCCTCAAATTCTTGGAAAAGTGGGACTGGGGGATGCTGCCCAAGTAGAGATGGGAGAGAGAGCAGAAGAGTTTGGGAATGAAGAAAGGCATTAAAGTTCATAGTCTTTTAACTAGAAATGTGGGGTTTGATTGGAAGCAGGCTGAGGGAGTTTCGTAATGGCCTCCAAATGTGGTCCTCCTGACAGGCATTACAAAATCAAGAGCTAGCAGTGGCGAATAAAGAGGTGACTGTGTCCTCATGAGAAAGGCGTGTTTCTCAGAAGATCCACTCAGCAGATGAAAAATGGAGATCTGAAGCAGGTACTCTTCCCCCCTGCAGCAGACTCCTTATGCTCACGGAGACACCTGGACAGACAGAAGGGTCCCACTGAAAAATTGCGGCTGAAAGGTGGCCTGAAAACAGCAACGGCATTTCCTGAAACCTTCAGAGGCTGTGAAGCTTAATTTTTCCCCAAGTACAGAACAAGACAAAACCTATCAAGAGCTTCCACAAGATGGAATCATGTCAAAATGTTCATTTCCAATGAGTTTGGATTTCTAATGGTGCCGGCACGTCAGTCTCCTGCTCTCTGGCCCCATCTGTGTATCTCTTAAAGGGGCGACAGAGTCCACCTGAGGCCACCACATCTTCCCTCACTGGAAGTGTCATTAAAATTGACCCATGTCCTCAGCAAAATGCACTTTAGGGACAGCATCCATGCCACACTTCATAGACTTTATTAAAATAACTGTGATTTAGTGAAGAAAATGCAAATCAATCCAAATAAGTTATTCATTAATGCCTGTGAACCGCACTTGGTTAATGATTTGAGATGACTTGAGAAGACTGAGCTGCCAGGATGCCTGTGCTGAGGAGTCACTCCCTCTTCCCTTCTAACCCTCAAGCCCAACTGTTCATCCCGGTTGCATCTTCTTATCGTCCGACCTACTTCGCAACCAGGGCCAACATTTCAAAAGAAATGGCATTATCTTGGGCTCAACAGAAGCCCATGCCCAGGATCATATAGAAATGACTTGGTTTTCACAAGTAAGTGAACACCTTCATGCAAGAAGGCATCAGTTTGGGGAAAATTTCTTTTAGAGAGGAAAAAAAAATAAAGCAACATATTTCTGCCTGGGATGAGGGAATGCAGAACTGGCTGGAACACTTCCATTTTTCACTTTGAAAGGACTGGCTTCCTTATTGCAAGACAAAATCAGTAAGGGTTGTTGTGACTGACTAGAAATTGAATATTTTCAGAGCTTTTTTTTTTTGCATGGTAGACTGAAATGTTGTGATAGTGAGTTGATTTGATATCAGAGCAAGGAGAGGGTTTCACGCAAGGAGAATTGCCAGTTCCCATACACCATTTTATCTGTGTTTACCTTCTCAGTTTAAAAGCACAGATATATGAATCTTTGCGTTTGGGCACGTTCCCATCTAGCTGCCACCCCCAGATGGCATGGCTCTGCTCCACAGCACTGCCTGGCTTCGAACACTTCGTGCTAATGGTCAAACATGGGCACAAATAGGACAGCGGAGCCTTTATTTGGATACTCGCACTGGTATGTAGACATACGCGTTCCCGTTTCCATCTACACATATGCCAACCAAAATGTCTGAACACGAGACTGCCACATTTGGGTGGGGTTCCCATGTTTGGGAATTGGGCTTAGCACAGGGAAGGGGTGATAGTTCACACAGGCAGGAGCAGAAAGTGATTACCTAACCAGGGAGGGTCCGACACACTGTAGCGGGGCCCTTTATAAGACAGAAATCTGCAACGAAACATGCAACAGATCCCTGCCCCACCAAGTGCAGAGGCACCCCAGGGGCCAAGGGGGAATGTCCGGGGGGGAAGGCAGAGTTCAGGTTTGCTGCAAGAAGCCTTGACTGGGTTGCTCTGCTGGCGCGCAAGTTGAGGAGCAGCAAACTGGACTTAGCAGGGGAAGTGATGACCCAGCAGGACTTGAGTGCAACCGGGAGAGGAACAGGAGCGATAGCATTTCCCCATGACTTTATCTGCAGAGTCGGGGTAGTGGAAACACCTGGGACAACTGAAATAGCCTTTTCAAGGATGGGAGCCCCTCGGGAGGGAGGTGGGGGTGCTGCTGGGCAGGGCTGGGAGCACAGCCCTGAGCACCAGTACCATGCAGCCATCGGGCATTCACTAGCATTGGGCATTTTCCCCATCCCTGGCCATAGCGGTGCTTCCCTGGAGCCCAGGAGCTCTACACATCCCTGGGGAGTGCGAAGGGCAGTGGTGCCGTGGGATTGCTCCCCTTCAGTGGGAGGCAAAACCTGCCAGGAATTTAGGAGTGCCTGGAGTTCAGTTTCCTGCACAGTCTATTAAACAAACATTGACTGCAACAGAAAAAATCCTTGGCTTCTGGAGACCTCAGTTCAACTTTGGGTTGAGATGGCGAAACAAAATGAATTCCCAGCCTTTTCTGCTTCCCTCATTACCACTGTGCAAAATACCGCCTGGTCCAACAGAAGCCAGCTTTGCTCAGGAGAGCAAAAAGAAAGGGCTTTCCTCTAAAACTGGCCTTTCCAAGAGAAAACTTCCATTCCCAAGCAACAGAAAACCATTCCATTTTAGGGCAAGGTTGACTTCTGTAAGCAAAAATAAAAGAACGTGGTCTCTGGGAATCTAGTGTTTGCGATCTCCTTTCTGGGATCTGGGGTTTGCTTTTTCACATGGGGGACACCTAGAGCATGAAACATCAGAGCAGCAGCTGGCTACCTCTTGCCCTGGCAGAAATGCTGAAAACACTTCTTACAGAGAGGATCAGCTTGTCAGCATAGCCTGCTTTCTCTTGCCTGTCATGTTTTCCAGTGACATAACGGCTGCACCTTCCCCCTACACCTATGAAAATGGCCGGAAAAGCCTTTGCCAGCACTGGGGTCACAGCTGACCGGCTCCCACGTGGAGAATGTGCACCTCTGTGTATTTAGGGAGCCATCACACATCGCTGAGTGCGGAGGAAAGGGGAAAACCCTGTCGGCAAGAGGGCAAGGGCAGGAGGGTCGGGCTGAAACACATGCTGGAAATGGGCAATAAAGTTAGCACAGGCTTTTCCCGTGGGTTTTGTTAACTCCCCACTAGCATGACAGGACAGGGCTGGCTTGAGTGGACAGAGCAGTGAAAGCAAGACCTCTTCTGCCATTAAAGGACCATGGCTGTGGCCTCCTAAACCTTGCAAGTGCCTGTCTATTTTGGACAGGCGCTTGAGATTAGGTGAAGGAGAGGGCACTTCTTCAAAGGGGGCAGATTAATAGCTCTTTAGCAGACGTAGTTGTTTGCAGTCACCCGGGGAGGTGAAATCATTTCCCACCACTATCTCCAACAGCTAAAAGAAACATGTCTCAAATAGATAATCTATTACAACCATCAGGAGGATTTCAAGGGCTGGTGGTTTTGTTAACTCTCATTGTTTTATCTCTGATTTAGCTGTTTTTTCTTAAAGGCCCAGCTCCTGGAATCACAGGACCATGTGGCACAGAGCAAAAGCAAGCAGCGAGCCCTCCTAGATGGAGCAAAAAGCTTGGAAATAACACCATCTAGGTTCAAGGATTGCAGGTACCTGGAAGGAAACAGGACTTAGCTACCAGAGGAATTGGAAGAAAAAAATAGATCTCATGATTTTGGGGTGGAAAACACTAAACTAAAGATCAAGGCAGGGGATGCTTAAAGCAATCTTGCTGACCCTGGGAAGCAGAATTGAGCAGTGTGGTTCAAGACACTGAAGCAAAAGGAGGAAAAAAAAAAAAGCTTTAAGCTGGGAGGGAAAGGGAGTTTTCAGGTGTCCCTCCTTTGCTCACATAAGTAAGGAGAGAGTTCCAGGGAAATAAGCCTATTGGGAAAGCAGTGAGGATCAATGCTCCCTCCCCATCCGTGGCACAGCCCCTGAATCCTTTTCAGCATCACTAAAGACACAAAAAATACCTTCAACACAACTCCCTGAGAGGCTGAGCACACTCATCACGGTGCAAGGGGCAGCTGATCTTGCCCCAGGCTTTACAGGTTAACTGCTGTTGTGTTACACACACACACTCTTCTATCTCTACAAGCACACAAATTCTGTTTTTTTTTCCTAGCAGCAGCACTGAATTCATCTGCTCTCCACCCTGCCGAGCTTTTGGCAAGCAAAATAGTACCAAATGTTACCCAGCAAGGGAAAGGACCTTGTTTTCTTCTTTGGAAAGCTTTGCCATTCCTGGAAATGCCAGTAGTGAGTTTATTTGTGCTCTTCGTATTAATTTCTTATGCCCCATAAATGCAGAGGAATTCCTATGTGGAGCTAAAGTTCTCCCTGAACTACCTGCTTCTGGCCCATTCTGCACAGATGTTTTTGTGGGAAAACTTAGTCAATTCGTGTCTGGTAGAAAATTCCCCTCTCGTATTCGCTGACACCAGGCAGAAGTTCACACAGCAGCGAGTGAAGCAGCACTGGTTGGGTTGCTTCTGGGAATGCATCTGCTGCCCTCTCCTTGCTCATCCTGAACTGAGATGGAAACACTGCCACAGCCAGCCGCGGGTGTTCCAAAACTAGGCTCCAAGACCGGGAAAACATCTCCACCAGCTGGCTTAAAATTAACAGTTTAAACAAACCAACCCAGCTCCTCTCCCTGACAGTTTGCTTTATTTTTCCTTGTCCAGAAGAAGGGCACCTAACAGGACTTTGGCATTTTGCACTTTTCAGTGCAATTCATACGGTGTCCCCACGGCTGCTCGCAGACCCCTGGGGAGCTCAGGGGCACACCTGGGCACAAACGTGGCACAGTCTGGAGGGCACCACGCGCTCCAGCTTGGAGCACAGAGCAGTATGGGGACTTTGCTTCTTCACATCCCTCCAGCTGATCTTCACAACCACCAGAGCTAGAAATGTGCTCCTGTGCCCATGGCTCCCCTCACCTCCCACCTCCCTGCCTGGCTCAGACCAGCTCTTTCCAAAGCCGGGGTTTCTTTAAAGCTTTGCTGTTTTATTTTGTGATGGATAACACTGAGCTGGCAGCTGTGAAACCCATTAAGGTCAAAACACCAGGAAACTCTGCGAGGATGTGGCAGTGAGAGGCAGCAAGGATCTGAGCAGGGAAGAATGAATATCCCACTTTCACGTCCATCACGGCAAGCCCAGCCGCAGCTCCTCTCCCCCCAGTCCTGCTCGGCACTGTCTCTTGCTTTCCTCGTTTTTCTTCTCCCATTCTTTCCCTGCTCCCCTTTATCTTTCCTGTTTTTCTCCGTCCTTCTTGTTCCTCATCAGCCAGTCCAGGAGACCCATCCAACTTAGCCCCACTTCAGACCTAATGAAAAGGAGGACCAGGGCGATTTGTTTTTCTTTCCTAAGCAAAAGCCCCATATGCCACCCCACCATCTGTCCGCCAGCAGACACCCACCCTGCACCTCAAGCTGCTTGGCCCATGCCAGTGCCTCTGGCTGAGGTGCGGAGGTCTGAAGTAGCTGTTTTAGGAGCTTAGCTGAAGTGGGTAGCAGAGTCAGGGAGGGTCTCTCCCCAGAGGGCCCAGCCCTCCTCCCCCCGTAGGCAGCAGACCTTCCCATGTGTAAAGGGACAGGAGACCTGGGCCAGGCATCCCTGCTCCTCCACAGGCTCCAGCACCTTTCTTCAAGCTATTTTTGAAGCTGTAGCCCAGCGGGGAGCTGGTAACCCCAGTGGTAGCTGGGAGCAAGTGCTGGCCCCTCAAGAAGTGGTTCCTGCCCCATGGCTGCTCCCCGTACCGCCTGGGGGGGGGCTGGGGCCACCCCCAGGGGCTCAGGAGGGGCTGCTCAGAAAACAGGCGTGCTGCTGGGCACATGGGCATCATGAGAGCCCCATTTCCTTGCTAAGCCAGGCTATAAAAAGGCAGAAAGGTGCCGCAGCCAGCAGAGCCAGCAGAACACAGGGGGCCATCCGGCCCCGGGCACCGCTCCCAGGAGGCGTCCTGTGGCACGTCTCAAATCACTTGGTAGAGATAAACTGCGACTTCCCAGGAGACTTATGCCAGCAGCAACAAGGGGAACACTGCACGTTATCCCCTGCCCGGTGGCAGGGAAGGAGTCCCTGCGCAAGGGTGCAACCACTGGGCACGGGTCCAGCCACTTGCAACAATTCTGCCTCCCCAAAAAGCTTTTCTTTGTTGGGTATTGCCCCATGGACCCTGTCTCCCCCTCACTCCTCATCCAAAGAGGCCACTCAAAACCACATCCCCCAGCTCCTACGGTGTTTTCTAACTCAAGGTCCACAGCTTTTGGCTGCAAACCCCAGTCGATCCAGGGAGTGCTCCCACAAGACCCATAAACGGTAGCCAAGCCTGTCAGCTGTAGGTTTAAACTCCTCATGGCAGACCTTCACTGCTCCTAGAAAGCGTGGAGGGGTCCCCAGGTCTCCCCGGTTGCCAGGCAGCGCTGCCCCGAGGCAGGTCCCAATAGCCACCACCCTGATCATTCCATTCCTCGCCTCGTTTGGCAATAGCAGCACAGCAGATTTTTTTTCAGACACAAACAGTTTTTGGGCTAGCCCTGGGGATCTCTGCAGCCCGTCTCATGCCAAGGCTGGAGTAAACAGAGAAAAGGAGAGGTGGGTGGAAACGGCCCCAGCCCTGAATCTTAGCCCTGAGCCTCCTCCAGAGCTGTGGGAACAGGTCAGTGTGGACCTGCCTGGAGAGTTCAGAGACGGGAGCCACCATCTGCTCCCTGACGCATGTCAAAACCGCTTCAAAGCCCCAACGACGCGAGGAATCCTGCAGGATACTCATCCTGTCCTGGGCAGAGGAGCCTGGGCAGCCCCCAGCAGCATCAGCACAGCAAAGTAAAAGGTGTCAGCAACAAAAATCTGCACTTTTGGGCCCTCTTTATTGACCTGCTGAAGCTCAGGCTTCTTCAGCAGCAGCTCTCCCCCATCCTCAGAGGAAGAGCCCGCTGGCTCCGGTGGAGTTTGGATGGGGCTCAGGCAGGCATAGCACAGCCATATGCTCTGCACTGATGCTCTGGCAGTACCAGAAACTACCCTGGCAGTGCCAGTGCGTCTCATTTTCCTGAGCCAGGAGCCGTGGAAGGGTTCGGGGCTGGCACAGCGGCAAAGCCAGCCTATCACGACATTGGTGTGTTTGCAGCTACCTCCTCCCATAGCCATGCCGGCTGTGGCATGCCTTGCCTGTCCCTCTCCCGGGGCTCAAACCTACACTGAATTCCCAGGTTTAACCTCTAGCTCTAACTCTTTTGGCAGGCAATGCCACCAGTCACCAAATAGAGAGGGCTGGCAGATCTTCCCTCCCTGCCAGGACCAAGGATGAGGTTTCCCCCTATGCAAAGTGCCGGGGCTCAGCCACAGCATGGGCTGGGGCAGAGGGAAGCAAACGCCAGGCAGGTTTGAGAGGTGGGAGGGACCTGAAGGCACGGGAAATTCAACCTAGCAGCATCACTTGTGCAGAAATACATTTTTAAGGGAGGAAAAAAAATGGATAATGCAACTATGCGAGCATGCACGTGGTTAAAATCTATAGTACTGCAAACTGCACATGCAAAATGAAAGGACACCGACCTCGTCAAGCAGTTGGTCAACTCTTCCCAAAATAGCTGTCTCCATTTGGTCTGCTGAGAGCCAGGCAGGGAGCTGTGTGGGTCTGTCTGCTTCCAAGTGGGACACCCGGGACTGCAGATCGGAGGTCCGAAAGTACAGCAGGAGGCTCAGCACCAGAGAAAGCAGGGAGACGCCGGGCAGCCCCGAGCCCAGCAGGAGAGGGAGACGGCAGCATCGCTCCCCGTCGCCGGTCCTGGGGGGAGCCACACACCCCCTGTCAAAAGCTGCTTCACCGACACCTTTCCAGCTCTTCTCCTCCAACATTCCCTCCCTGTCCTGAGAAACAATAAATAAATAAATAGAATAAATAAAGCCTCACTCCTACTCCAAGAAGCACAATCCAGAAGGCACAGAAAAAGAGCGTCCAAGGGGATCCCAGTGCCAGCAAATGACAAATAACAGCAATAATGACAGAAGTGGATGGGGGGGGGGTGTCTTTAAAAAATAAAAACAAACCACACACACATAAAAGGGGTGCAGAAAAAAAGGATCCAACTGCAGCAAAGGGGGGGTGGGTGGAAAATCTGATGAGGATTTTTTTTTCCCTCCTGTGTTTCAGTCTTTTGGTTCGCTGGTAGATTTTTGTTTCCTTCTAAGCTGCCAGTTTCAGTTCCTTCGCAGACTGGCCAGGAGCTCACACATGAAAGTCCCCATTAGAGAGAGGTAATTCTCAGCTGCTCCAGCGACGTTGTGCTCTGGCTGATCGTGGCTCCCCTGTAACATGACACACTCCCTCCGAACTACGGGGCTGGGATGAGCGAGCTGTGCGGCTTCCCAAAGTAACCTCCTCTGCTCGCCCTCTTTCTCCACCTCTCCCTTGCTGCATGATTTATTTATTTATGCAAAGCGCCGGGGTGGGATCGGGCAGTGGGACGCCCCTGTCCCGCTCGGTCCCCAAACCACCTCTCCGCCGCCAGCCCTTCCCTTTGAAGTGACTCTCGCCGAGGTTATTTATAGCGGCAGGAAAAAGATTGTAAAGCAGAGGCTGGGCTCACACCAGCCTACGTCTTTCTTTCCTCCCCGCAGCCAAAGGGCACTTTACCGGATGGTGCAAACGGGCTGTTGCGTCCCCCGTGCAGACCCCAGGGCAGCCCTGAGGCACCAGCGGTGAGGTATTTTGACCCCGATATTTTGAGGAGAGCAGCCAGGCAGGGTGAGAACCAGAGGGAAACGTCTGGCAACAAGAGCTGGCAGCTGAGGGCTCTGCAAAAAACAAGCAAAGGGCAGCAGGGAGCAACACCCCAGGCAGGCAAGCTGCAGTGCGAGGGGGGAACCTTTTGGGCTTGATTTGGGCGTACAACCTGCCGAGCCCGGGGGCCACCAAGGGCATTCAAAAGAGTTAATCTGCTGAGGTCTTCTAGTGAAGTAGAGCTTCCTGTCACCTCCTCCATGTCCTGCCGGGCACGAGGCGCCAGAGAGAAAACCCCCTTGCTGGGGAGCAGTCTCCCCAATACGTGCTGTAGGGCAGCTCCGAGCCACGCGTCTGGGAAACAAAGCCTCTTTCTGTTCTTCAGGAGCAAGGGAGGCCCACCTCTCCCAATTTTTCCGAGCACGACATACAATATTTTATCCTCCAGGGTGACATGCAGGCTCTGCTGAGCCCCTGCCTGTCCGTCTGTCTGTCCTTTGATCCCCTTCTTGAGCACATACAGCAGCGAAGCAGCACGGGGCCCGCTGTGGTGCAGTCATTTAAACCTGGGCAGCAAATTGGTCTCTTAAAATCTGGCTCCCTTGTGGCTCTTTCGCTGTCATTTACACGTTTTAAATGAAGATTTTGCGTGCAGTCTGTGCTGGAAATTGCTGGCAGAGAAAACTCATATTCATCTCTCCCGGTCTCCGTTTCAGAGGGCTGGAAGAAATAGACCTTCTGGGAGCAGGTTAAAGTGAGCACGAGCTGTTTCTTCTCCACCAGAAAAACCCTTGGAGGGCCCGGTAGCACACAGCCCCGATTCTTTGAATGGCCTCATGCCTTTCACAGCCACTCGCTTCCTGAAACGGGGTTCTAGCGTCTGCAAGGCAGGAAATCCTTTCTTTATTTCTTTTAGCAGGTTTCTTGTCATCTCGCTGCTCAAATTTGCGTTGCTGCTCCGGCACGCATGGAAAACACCCCTCTGATGGCTGCAGCCTTTCAACAGTTTCTCATATGAGCGGGGCAGAGACATGTAACGCACAGAGCCGGCTCATGCAGGGTGTCTACTCATTTGGGAGGCACAGCCGCCCCAGTCTTCTACCCCCTGCTCGGTCTCTTCCCAGCTATGCCTGGGTTAGCAACCTATTTCTTTGCAAAGGGAAAAGGAGTCTTTGAGGCTGTGGCTCTGCCAGAGAGAAACCGTGGTCCATGGAGTTACCTAAGATGCCATCTGCCATCACAGCAAATAAGTGGACAGTGAGAAATGAAGGGGAGGTGCTTAGAGACTGATAATACAGTGTTTGGGAAGTGATCTACATGGGGAAATAATGGTTGGCAACTGGGATGCTGGGCATCCTAGAGAGCTCTGAAGTACACTACTTAAAGACTGGTGTTGAACTACTGATGGCTGCAGCTACCTGCCTGTGTTATACATAGCTTCACCGAAGGCGCTCTCACTCTCTCTCCCCCCTCTTTATACCAGCCCAAGCACTAAAATCACAAAAATGCACCCTCTAAGCTGAAAATGGAAATCTGCTGGGTGTCTACGTTTCATTTCCCCACACTGGCTGGGGGGAGCTCTCTGCTCTTTCGCTCTGATTTGTGATAGAGATCCTGCTGTCCAGACATGAGCATCGCCTCAATGACTCTATAAGTGCCTTTTCCTGCCTCCCCACCAGCCCCTCTCCAGCTGATCAGTTCATTTAGGGGGTATGTCATAGCTGCTGCAGGCTGGGGAGCTGCAGTCAGCTGGGCTTCACGCGGAAGCCTTAGCTGCAGATGTGCAGGAGGGTAATTTTTCTATCCGTGAGGCATTAAGGAGCCCTGTCATCCCATGCCAATACAAATGGACTAATTTAGCTACAAACCTGAGCCAACTGCGCATGTCAAGTCTGCAACACTGCTCGCCAAACAAGCTGCCTCCAGAGACGGGCCCCGGCACGTGGAGTCATCTCATCGCTCCTTGAGTTGAGCACGGCCGAACCTTCAGCTCTCTTGGCAGCCTCAGAGGAGGTGGGTGCCGGCCTGAAACCAGTCCTTCTGCAAGTTCGTGACTCTCAAGGCTTGTCGAGTAGAAGCAGATGCTCAGTTGCAATCAAAGGGAGTGTTTTCACTGACTGGTGACTCTTAGAGCAGGCTAGACTGCCCTCGATACGCCAAGCTTGAGGCTATATCCCTCTCTCCTCAGGGAGGTTGGTGCAATTCCTTACAAGGACAGTAACCACACACTTCCACTGCTTCTAACTGGTCCTCCGGGGCGGTTATGGACCTCAGCTCAAACATGCAATGAAATCTGGAGCAAATATAAAGCAATAAAGCAGCTGAACCACTCTGTACAATGAAAGAAAGCATTTCACATCTAGCACGTGGCACTGGGTCAATTAACGCACTGGACATGGTTACGTACAGGTATGCAAGCCTCCAGGTTTGTCAGCCTGTAGCTGGTACTGGCACTTTGTCCTTCTCAGGGGCATTTGTACATGGGCAAAGTGCCTTACGGAGAGGTTGCCCAGTGCTGCTCTGCAACTGACAGACAGTGCTCACAAAGAGGCATGATGTGTGGGGATTCTTTGCAGGGCACAATGTGGTCTTATTGCAAGGGACCATAAACCCTCTTTGACCCCAGGTAGGTACCGTGGGCATGAACCACTCCACACCGCAGGGCAGAAATGGAAAAGCTGGGCATGGATGAGGTTCTCGCTTCTATGTACATGGTTCAAGCCAGCAAGGTATCTACAGCAGGTCTTCATTTGGCCTGGAAAGGGGTGGGCAACAGCAGCAGCCTTCCTCACTTCCCTTCACTTCAAGCGGAGCCTTTCATAAAAAAAAAAAAAAAAAAAGA